CAAGGCCTGCGCCTGCGCAGGAGACACCGACGTCTGCCCTGCGGCACGCCACAGCGGGGCGGAGCCAGTCGCGAAAGGTCACGTGAGCGTCCGAGGTGCGTGGTCACTTTCGCGTCAGTTCCTGGCTTCTGGCCGCTTCCTTGTCCGAGCAGCCTGCGGTCAGGGTGTGCCCTGCAGTTCGCTTCCTACTAAGAGCTGCTCAGGTCCCCGAGGCCGAGCGCACCCGCAGGGCACCGTGGCCACGCGAGGGACCTCGCGTAAAGCCGGGCTTGGAGCTGGCACTCGCCGTGGCTACTGAGGGTGCAGCCGCGCGCAGATGCCTCTACGGTCGCTGGAGAACAGGCGCCAGGCGGGGCGCGGCGCTCTCCTCTGGGGTGCTTTTTCCGCGGTGCCCCCGCCCCTGCTGGGGGACCCGGCGCGCCAGGAGCCGGGACTGCACCCTGAGGTCTTTATTGCAGGGCTTTATTTTTCCAGGAGTTCCCTTTCACTACAGAATTCCTCAGAGACCCATCCACTCTTCTGGCGAAAGCACAATTAATGCCCTAAGATTCGCTGACTCCTCGAAATCTTGCTGTTTCCACCAATTCTTGCTCAATACTAACTAAAGCCCGCTTTGAAACACCTGCCTTAAGTCAGACTTCCAGTTCTCCATAAACTGACTGCCTTTTGCTCCCAACCATTGCTAAAGCTTTGCCAGGTCATGCTGTCCCTTGCTGTGGCCCGCAGTTAACTCAGCCTTGTCTTATCGATAGGTTGAGTTTGTAATGTTTGGGGACTGTCAAGACAAGTACAAATTTAAAATAAGAGGTGTATTACTTCCTGTTGAAAAAAAGAGATTTCCCTCCCTTTTTCTTTGAACATTTACTTTTAGAAAACTGGCAATTAGTGTATGTACTTTTTCCACTCTTTGAAATATATAAATCCTTTTGAAGACTAGGCCTTTGTGTCCGCTTTTTAACCTAGATATATGTTTCTCTAGGACCTTAAGTATCAAGGGAACTAATGCCCCTATCTCCCAGTTTTAATGGGAGAGTAGGAGCCTAACTTCAGTGGGCCCTTTGCTCCAGCTTACAAAATTATCTCATAAAGATACAAGTTTCTTTTTCCTCTAGATAAAGCCAATTGGCTAACACAGAGGATCACCCCAAATATCAGGTTAGATGAACTGTGTGTGATGAAAAGTGCTGCCAAGTTCCCTTGAGAACTAGTTATTGTTTATCTTGAAAACGTGTGTAATGGATTGCTTGGCTGCACAAAAGAGTGGGGTTTCTGTCTTTGCAGTCTCTTAGTGGATTGCCTGTGATGGGTATCACATTCTAGTTTAATGCTTATTCAATTAAAAAGTGTTTTCTTTCTCCACTACCTTTCTGAAGAGGGTTGGGAGATTGTACTTTTAATTATATTTCCTGAACAGGAGCCAAGTTCCCACACATAGTAGGTGCTCAATAAATATTTGAAGAATGAATGAGTGACAGAAATCTTTCTTAGGCCGACTCTCTTTATATTTGCATTCCATGATTTGAAGAAATTGGAATGGATGCAGTTTTCACTCATGGCTCCAGCAGGCCCAGAATCATGTTTTATGATTTTGTTTTGCATTACAAAAAGGTGGCCAGGCACGGTGGCTCACGCTTGTAATCCCAGCACTTTGGGAGGCTGAGGTGGGCTGATCACTTGAGGTCAGGAGTTAAAGACCAGCCTGGCCAACATGGTGAAACCCTGTCTCTGCTAAAATACAAAAATTAGGCCGAGTATGGTGGCGCACACCTGTAATTCTAGTACTTTGGGAGGGCGAAGTGGGCGGATCACCTGAGGTCAGAAGTTCAAGACCAGCCTGGCCAACATGGTGAAACCCCTTCTCTACTGAAAATACAAAAATTAGCCAGGTGAGGTGGCACATGCCTGTAATCCCAGCTATTCAGGAGGCTGAGGCAGAAGAATCGCTTCAACACAGGAGGTAGAGGTTGCAGTGAGAGGAGATTGTGCCACTGCACTCCAGCCTGGGCAACAGAGCGAAACTCTGTCTCAAAAAAACAAAACAAAATTAGCCGGGAGTGGTGGCAGGCACTTGTAATCCCAGATGCTCAGGAGGCTGAGGCAGTAGAGTCACTTGAACCCAGGAGATGGAGGTTGCAGTGAGCTTAGATCATGCCATTCCACTCCAGCCTGGCCAACAGAACGAGACTCATCTCTGATTACATTAGCTAGCATTCAATGCTGAAAGGATTGCTTTAGTTGAGTGTCTTAATAGCTTTAATGCCTAACCAAAGAAAGAAACAGCATATGATAATCATATATTTTATATTAAAATTATCTTTAGAAATGCTACAGGAATTTATAAACTAGATCAGGTTCCAAGGTAGAAATTACAACAAGCTTATTCAAAGTAACTTCTGGAAATGAATAAGGTAAAAAACACCAGCCTAACACAAAAGTAGCAAAGTATATCGTAAACTAAAAATAAAATTCCAAGCCTCCCAGCTGACTGAACAGACTCCTTCTTGGCCAAGAAGGAGAAAATAAACCTTAAAAACAGTTTTTTTTACCCCAGAGAAACCTTAAAAACCGAGTTCCTGGCCATGATGGAACAAGAGGTTGGACAGTCCTCATTTCTGTGCATCACCCATCCTAGCATTAAGGTTAATATAGAGGTCATAAGACTCACGGACTCTGTGGCAATACTAAATGATAAACAATGAAGGGCCATGCCCGGCAAGGGTTGTCACGCACCTCTACACTTCAGGAAGAAACTATGCCCTAACTGCCACAAGGTTTTTATTCTCTAGCAGCCAAACAAGCACTGGCTTCTAGATAAGCAATATTCAAACACTGTGCATCTCATCCACCTCCACATGCTGATGCCCCCCATCCCCCGCCATGCCACTTCCACAAATAATTACTACTTTGATTGGACCAGAGGCTGACTGCAGTAACTTTTTCCTGATGGGAAACAACCGAACAGGGGCTGATTCTGGCGGTTTACAGAGGCTGCACACAAGTGCATTAGTGTCCTGAAAAGACCTTTCAACATATAGGGTTAAGTGTAATACATGAATACATGTAAATGCTAAGAGTCCACCCCAAAGTAAACATAGGTCACCTGTAACATGCATGTTTGTCCAGTAAGCATGGGTCAGGATCCGTTTCATGAATATTCATAGTTCTTCCTGGGGTCTGTTCATACCTGTACTTGGCTAAGCCCTTCAGCTTGAATGCCTGTCTTAGGCCCCCTTCCCTCCAGGTGCCTGCCTTTTGAGCTTCTGCCAGAGGCTATGCTTCCCAGCCTGTCAGAAGGGCCACCGTGCAGGTTATCACCCTTTAAAGAAATAAAGCTCTCCTTTCTATGTTTGTTATTTTTTTTAAAAATAATACGAATAGACAATTCACTTGAGAGTGTGAATGGCATACTTCACTGACAATGGAATACTATAAAAACAATAATAAACCACTGATAAAACATGAAACTGACAAATATAGTGTTTCATGCTGCAGAACTCTGCACGAGGAAAGTACACGGGAGTGAACTTTTATGTAAGGGCGTTCACTGCAGTGCACTTTTATTAGTGAAACTTTGGAAACAATCTCACCTATAAGGAGATGGTCAATAATTTGATATATCCAAGCACTGGATTATTATGCCGGTCATTAAAACAACGTTTAAAAATATGGTTAAAAATATGTGTAATAGCTTGGGGAAATGCTCACCATGTTACAATGAGTAAAGACGGCTACACTATTTTACATAGGGCCTGATTTGGTTTGAAAACAAATCTATAGAAATAGACTGGAAAGAAATGTATCAAATTCTAAACCGCGCTAGGAAGAACGCGGAAGCACGCGCAACCCCGGCGCCCTACCCACTAGACATCCTCGCTGTCCCTCACCTGCACGGCGGGCGCACGCTCACAGGCTCGTGAGGGCGCGGCCGGTGGGTCAGGCTGGGCGGCGCTCCCCGCCCATTGGCTGTCCCGTAGTCCGGCCCCGCCTCTCCCCGTCTTCTGGAGCTGCTGGTATCGCTCCTTCCAGGGCTCCTTGGAGACGGAGGGCGGGGCTAGGGCGCCGGAGTCACGTGGTGCGCGCCACCGCTGGATTACTAGCTGACAAAAGCGTCCTCCGAAGGGTCCTGAGCGGTCGCAGTGTAGTGACGTCGGCCGTATCCGGGAGACTGGAACCTGCGGTTGAGTGCCAAACCAGCACGACCCCTGCGTCTTGGTTTCGCACTGGTGGCCAGCGGGGTCTGGGCTGTGGTTTTACCCAGCTCCTTTGCGGAGCTGCTGTCCTTTCCTCAACATCCCTACTCTGCTGGGCAGCCTACCTCGGTCAGCACGTCCTGGCGAGAGCTGCCCATGGGCGCTCTGGGTTCCGAGAGCTGCTTAGGGCGTGGCGTTCTTGTCATAGGGGAAGAGCAGCCCTCAGAAGAGCGGCGGCCGCGCTCACAAGGAGCCCGGCTTGGGAGAGGGAGCCCCAGGAGGCGTGTGGGCTCCGATCGAGAAAGAACGCCACCGCCTCGTGGTGACTCTTCCTAATGTGCAGATTCCAAGGCTCTACAGCGCTGCAAAATAGATTACAGTCCAACATCAAATTAAGCAGCTGGGGTTCAATTCAAGAGTTGAGTTTTAACACACGCCTTTACCTGCTTTAAAATTGGGCAAGGTGTCACAACGTTAAGCCATTTCTCACAAGGCTCGTTGGTGATGTGTAAGATTTTTTGTTTTTTGATACGGAGTCTCACTGTCGCCCAGACTGGAATGCAGTGGCGCGATCTTGGTTGACTGCAACCTTCGCCTCCTGGGTTCAAGCGATTCTCCTGCCTCAGTTTCCCGAGTAGCTGGGATTACAGGCGCCCGCTACCACGCCCAGCTAATTTTTCTATTTTTAGTAGAGATGGGGTTTCGCCTTTTTGACCAGGCTGGTCTTAAGTTTTGCATCATGGATCCCTCCTCTTACCTAGTCGCAGCCTTTTGTCTACAGGACAAAGTAACTTTCTCCAGTTTTCTGTTTGCTCTTTAAAGGAGACTGGGCCCTAATTTGGCAAGGTGGTAGGGGAGGCAGGGCTGGTGTTTAAGGTCGACCAAAGCAGCATCTAAATCTGCTCTTCCCCCAAATTGTCCAAATCAGCAGCAACAGGTGTGCACCTTCCAAACTTGCAGCAGACCACATTCAGAAGTTTCTTGATTTCCTGGTGTTCTGGGCATAGCTGGATCAGAGGTAACGGGTTCACTAGGACTCCTCAGCTTCACTTAATGTCTATTTCAGCTCCCCCGGCCTTCCAATGTCTCTTCTTCCAGATATCTCCAAGCTACTCTCCCCTTCATCTCCTCCGCCCCCAGGCCCCAACTCCTGCCCCTCCCACCCCAGCCCCTGTTCTCCCTGCCCACCCCGTACCCCACTGGAGTGGGTTTTCATCAAACCCAAATCAAAGAAACCAACAGACCTTGCTGTCACCACTACTCCAGGACCTGGAAGTTGAAGCGAGGGAGAGCCGGTGAAACACAGAAAGCAGAACGCCTTCTGTTCACACCACAGGGTTTGTGGACTTGGCCACTATAAGAACAAACTCACACTGCGTGCTGATTACACTCCTCAGCATAATTAATTTCTTAAACTTTCTAGAATAACTTAAAATTTACAAAAAGTTGTAAACATAAAAACCAGTAAACTCTTCACCTTCATCTGCCTTATAATTAAGGCAGCGGCAGCGCGCTGGACAGAAGGGGAGGGGCTTGCACTTTCCGCCGTTGGGAAACCCCACCCACAGGGACGAGCCGGGCCATCTGCCTGTAACTGCTGCACGGCCGGTTGGTGATGTGTCCCAGAAACGAAGGAGAAGGGTGCCACGCACACCTGTCTTGCCTTCCTGGGTGGCGGGGGCATGGCAAGGGCGGAGCTTCCCGCTGTGCCCTTAGAGTTCGCCGGCAACCAGGCTAGTGTGGGTGGGGACGCAGTGCCCTGTGCCCTATCCGCCCTGCCCACTGGGGGTCTGGCCCGGACCTGAGGGGCAGTAGTTGGGGCCGACCCGCGTCCTCTGGCCCTAATAGTGAACACAGTCTGCCCCATTCAAATCCTTTTCCTCTCTTAGGATTACTGCTGTGTGTCAGTGTCACACACCCCAAACTGATAATGGCTTCAGATGGGATTTATTTCTCATTTAAAAATAAGTCTTAGGTTGAGTGAGCTGGGCCTATTTTGGTGTTTACACATGGGACCTAGGCTCCTTTTAGCTTAGCACTATCCTACCTCTAGGGTATAGCTGTGCTGTTCTCTTGGCCAAGACTGAGCCAGAGCCTGTGGTCAGGCCAGCATAACCTTTCCAGGCAGCAGGATAGAGGGGGGAAGAAAGAAGGGTCTGTTGAAGGAAAATTCCCACAAGTTCAGTCCTTGTATTACATTGGCCAGAACTTAATCACGTCAGGCCTAGCTACAAAGTGAATGAGAAAGTCAAGTATTTAAGATGGGTCCCTTGTCTCTCAAAACACTGGCCTTCAGATCATACAGAAGGGAAGGGGTGTCAAGAGGAAACAGCTACCCATGTCACTGTGCTCATCAGAATTCTTACCCTTCTCAAAATTTCCCATTCCAATATCTTGACTACCCTATCCCAAACCTAGCACACTCTTACCAAAGACAACTGGGGAAGCTGCAGCATGGCAGGCACATCATCTATTGGTCCAACTTCTACAGGGTTTTCTATTCTTTACATTGGAGAAATGCAATTGGGTTTGGCCTTTAGGATCAGTAAAAGCAGCTTCTAGTTCTGATGTCCTCCATCACAGTTTCAGTGCTTCTTCCTCTCAGAATCAATACTGATTCACTTTCTCTTTATGAATGAGTTTAATATAGTGGCTTCATTTAAAAGCAATTATTAGCTAACTCTAGTATTTCATCTGTTCTCATCAATTCTCAGCTAAGGTGCTAAGATAGGGCCCAGTCATCTGTTAGGTGATTCTGCTACATCCTAAGGTGATGTATCCTAAAAGACAACTAGAGTGCTTTTAAAAACTGCCCATGCCCAGCCCTACCCTCAAAGGTTCAGGCAAACAATTAACCAGTGTGGTGGCATGTGCCTGCAATCCCAGCTACGCAGGAGGCTGAGGCACAATAATTATTTGAACCCAGGAGATGGAGGTTGCAGTGAGCCAAGATTATGCCACTGCACTGCAATCTGGGTGACAGAGCAAGACCCTGTCTCAAAAACAAACAAACAAACAAAAAACAAAAAAAAACCCCTATCCACCACCACACACACAGACTCAAGCATGGTTGGGTCTGCAGTATGGCCTTGGCACAGGTAATTTTCAGTGTCCCAAGGGATTCTAGTGTGCATGGGGTTGTGAATCACAGTTCCAGGTGGGTCAACTGTGTGCATACCGGTGCCTGGGGTAGGTACTAAGCCCTGATCCTCACCCCTGTGCAGGTGCTTCCTATTATGCTTTCTGCCTTTAGCCCTCCTCCTCCCTCAAAACCTGGTCAAACACATCAGACGGGGGGAAAGAAGCAACATGTGTATTATTAAATTATTTGTCAGAATTTCCAGAATCAGAGTCTCTACTGGGCAAGTAGAAAAATAGAAAAGTTTACTACTTTGAAAAGGAAACTATCACAAACAAGTATATATTCAGGAAAGGGACTCCTAGAACTTGAGCAACAAAAAAAGAGTTCAACCTCAGCACAGTGGAGTCTGCAGTGTCTCCGCAACAACAGAAATGAACTTGTGTTCCTCATATCCTTGAGAGTTGAGGTTTGCATTTCTCTACAGAGCTAGGGCTGAATGAAGCAGAGACCTCTGCCACCCCCACTAGCTGGCCCAATCCTGAAAGCGGAAGCAGTCACTTGCGATCTTCCACACTGTGTTGCTGGGTGAGGCCTGGGCGGTCAGGATGAAGTTCTGGTTGAAGTCCCGTTGTTTGTTCCCCTCAAACTTCACTGATCCACAGATCACAACAAGGACTGTGGTCTGGCTCGGTGTGGCTTCATCATGTACAGGCTGGCAGTCTACCACACTGATTTGGAACTCGCTGGAAGGCAGCATTTCAAAAAACTCACTCAAGGATTCTTGTCCTGAAACAGCATTGCCATTCCAGACCAGGGTGGCTGTGCCCATGTACAGGCGGGAGAGCAAACGCCGCCGCTTATCCATGGTGGTGTAGTAGACGTTGACAAACTCCTCAGCAGCTCTGCAGGCCTGATCCACGTAGGTCTTGAAGTCCACAGATGCCATTTCTGGTTCTATGGAAGAAGGGCTCCACCAGGGTATTTCCTCTGCCTTGGGGAATCAGGAGCTGCAGGGAAGTAAGGTTGAAGAGAACCCATGTGAATGCCAAAGTTCATTCTGCCCTGACAATGGAACATTCCTCCTTTTCTACTACTGGCAAAATAGTTACAGACTGCAGAACAATGACTGTAGGCTCAAATAGTACCCAACACCTAAATGTCTAATTTTTACTAAGCCTCAGTTTGCTCATTGTTAAGATGGGATTACCACTGTGGCAAACTGAGACAGTATACATTGTGTTTAGTTAAAAACATTTAGTTATAGTCAGCACTCCATATCTGAGGGTTTTGCATCCACAGATTCAAACAACCTCAGGGCGAAACCTGCAAATATATTGGGCTGACTGTGCTATGCCATTTTGTTTTTGTTTTTGAGACTGAGTCTCACTCTGTCACCCAGGCTGGAGTGCAGTGGCGTGATCTCGGCTCACTGCAATCCCCCACCTCCCAGGTTCAAGGGATTCTCTTGCCTCAGCCTCCCAAGTAGCTGGGACTACAGGTGCCCACCGCCACGCTTGGCTAATTTTTGTATTTTTAGTAAAGATAGGGTTTCGCTATGTTGGCCAGTCTGGTCTCAAATTCCTGACCTCAGGTGATCTGCCCGCCTCGGCCTCCCAAAGTGCTGGAATTACAGTCATGAGCCACCGTGCCCGGCCTTAACGCCATTTTATATCAAGGACTTGGAGCATCAGCAGATTTGGTCTGTTGCAGGGGTAGGGGGACTGCTGGAATCAATTCCCAGAGGATGAGGAGGGCTGACTGGACCATTAATTTTTTAAATCACACTTTATAAAATAGAGTACATTTGACTATGGAAGGCCACTCTTTCCTGAATGCTTGCAACAGACATGACTGCCCCTTGGTAAAGACAGTGGACCATTTAGAAGGGAAGAGTGGTCACTGGCTCAATAAAGGCCAACCAAACCAACGAAATGCTCGTCAGCTGCTGAGTCTGGGAAAGTCTATCATGAGCTCACTCAAGAGGAACCAGGAGGGCAGAGAAGGCAGGTTTCTTAAGAGGGTAGAAACACAAATGACATGAGGACAGAACCAAAATGGCAGCCATAATCCCCATGGTAAGCTGGAAGCAGCAAACCTCTTGGGTGAGTGGGGATTAGAAGGGAGGACACCCAGCTTACATAGGTACTAATATCCACCACATAAGTCCTGTGGAGCCACAGTGCCTCCACAGAAAGACATGTTAAATTTCAAAGTTCTTGGGTGTGTGGGCACAGAATGTGTACTATAGCTGAAATGTCACACTGTCCCCCCGATAAAAAAGTACAAAAGCATAAAAAAAATTGACATTTACTTTTTTCAGGGTACAGGTACAACTGTTATGTTATTTTCTCCATAATTAAAATATTTCACTTAAAATAGAGGACATTACTAAAATACTGGATTACTAAAATAGAGGACATTACTAAAATAGTTTATACTTACAAACTTAAATAGTGATTTTTTTTTTCATTTCAAAAAAAGACCTTTTTTTAAATGATTAGCTTATGAAATCGATAAAACATTCCACATAGGGCTGGAAAGAGCCAGGTTCTTATAACGGCTGCAAAGGTGGTGCATTGCCTCTGGTAAAGGGCTGGCTGGGAGGGAAGCTGTCCTAAAAATGAGCAGTTAAGAGCCAATTTCAGACCTGGGTCTTTCCACGCCCTCCACAGACCTCAAAGTGAAGCCTCAACTGTACTCTGAACTAAGTACAGCGGTCCCTCGGTATCTGTGAGGAACTGGATTCAGGACCCCCGAGGATACCAACACCTGCTGATGCTCAAGTCCCTGATAGAACGGTGTACTGTTTGATACAACGTATGCGCAGCATCCTCCTATATACCTTAATCACCTGTAGGTAACTTATAACACCTAATACAATGTAGAAGGGATGTAAATAGTTGTTATACTGTATAGTTTAGGAAATAATGACAAGAAAAAAAAGCCTCTACATGTTCAGTACAAAGGCATTTTTCTTTTTCTGAAGAGTATTTTTGATTTGAGGTTGGTTGAATCCACCCAACGCGGAACCCACGAAGAAGAAGCGCTGTGTTTGCTAAGAGCTTCACATATATTACCTCATTTAAATGTCACCACAAATGAATGAAAAAGGTATTACTATAACAATTTTACAAATGAGAAAAGGGAAACCTAGGGCTGGATCAAGGTAATGACGGTTAAGAGCATTCCTGATCTATCATTTACAAGACTAGACTGAGGGCTGAAATTTTGTCAAGACGATGCTGTCCTTTTACTCGCGTAAGCAAGTCTCCATGAGGACAACTCCAGGACTGCCGGAGTGGGAATTTTCTCCCAGGGACCCCATTTCTCTTTGGCTGGAATTCCCGATCTCCACCTCACTCGTCTTCCCTCCATGGCACCAGTCCCCCCATCATCTCAGAAACGCCCCTCTTCCCCGCCCCTGGCTGTCCTTCCAAACACAATCTAACAATTGGCCACGCCCCCACACTCCATAGAAGGACCATCTCCACTTTTGGTTCTCAGTTACCTATGGGGCTGTCAGCCCCGCTGCGTCAAATCAGAAAAAGAACCAGACCTTGAGGACTGGAGTAAGAGGCTGTGAAGATCGCCGCCTCCTCCCACGGCCAGCACCGTCGAGTGTCCGGAGCTGGACGGGAGAAGCTGCCACAGTGGCATGGTCTTATTTCCTGCGAGTCGCCTTTAATTCAAACCTAGACAGACGCACGCCCTGCCCTGCCCTCCTCAGACCCGAGAGCTGCTCTGCGAGGGGACGCGCCTCTCCTCATTGAAGAGAATTCGCTGCCACGCGTTTTGCACAGTAGAGAGGCAACTCTACCACGTGGACAAAGGTACAGCCGTGTCTTATTCCCGACAATGGAGGAGGGCGTGGGGTATGCACGAGAGGCTGTCTCCGGGGTCAGACCGCCGGGGGGACTGCAACCTACCTGCGCGGCGAC